TGTTTCTTGTAACTCCTGGGAGTGCTCAGGGGAACAGGGACTCTCCCAATGCCTGCTGGTCCCCCTTGACTACTTTGTAGACTGCCACTAGATCCCCTCTCAGCCTTCTCTTTTGGAGGCTGAACAGGTTCAGGTCCCTCAGCCTCTCTTTGTAGGGCCTGCTATATTAATATATAATATATATTTTTTGCAATGTCTTAGTTGGTCTAATAAAAGGTATCACTTCTGAACCAATAGTTCTAGAGTTTTGCATTTCTTTTTTTTTGTCTCAGACCAATATGGCTACCAAATACATCCCTGAAACATGGAAGATGCTGAATTTTAGCCAATTTTGGCTTTGAACTTCATTACTGAACAACAAGAAAGATTTCTACACCTCCTTGCCTTTCTGCCATCAGGCAAGGAATCCTGCCTCATCTGCCCATCAAAGAGCAACTAACAAAGACACTGTCATGGGCCCATGGGAATAGATTTCCACCTTCAGCTTCCTCTGTGCAAAAATGAAGTTTATTTTCTACCTATGTGGAATTTTTACCATCTTTAATTTTCCCTGAGCCTGAGGAAGGGTGCATGTGCCCAAAAGTTTGCAGAGAAAGATTTTTTTTTTCTTGCAGTTTGTTAGTTGATCTAATAAAAGGTATCATCTCTGAACCAAGAGTTCTAGAATTTTGCATTTCTTTTCATTAAGTGTAACTCCAGTTTCTTGGAGTTTTCTGAGTGTTGCATTCAGTCTTGTATCATGTTGTGCCTTGGTGGTTCCAAAAACTAAAAAGGTCATTGCCATGACAAAGCACACCTTCTAGGCCATCCAGTATCTGTGGCATCTGAAGCTGAAAGAATTCAGGAACTGATGAGATCAGAAAAGGGAATCATTTAAATTGGTGTTGTCCAACTAGAGTAATAAGATTCAACAGCTAGAGGAAACTGCCAGAATCCTGCCCTATCATTCAATTTTGTACAGACCTTGGCTCCTGAAAGTTGATCCAGGGTGCATTCCACTGAAAGACGAATGTCTTTCTCGGCACATGTATTTGTTCATCTGTGTGAGGTCAACCCATATTCTAATATTACCACTGGGTTTTGGGACAACCACCGTCCCAGAACACCAAAAAAGTGGGTATTTCAGTCTTTGTGATTTCTTCCATTCATGCTAGGCCTTCTTTTGCTTTGTCCATTAGCAGCAAGGGTACCTGTCTTGGTGTAGTTAGTGCAAATGGAACTGCACCAGCTTTTAGGTGTATCTTATATTCACCTGACATTTTTCCAAGACTTCAAAAAATGGATGGGTATTTGGTTCTTTAGTGCTACTCCAAAGATTTGTGGTCTGCTTTTTCATCCAGCAGATGAATACATTTTAGTGTCTGTATGGCTGGTAAGCCAAGCAAAGGCACAGCAAGATTCTAGATCACACTTCCTGGTGTATAGTTGTCTGCTTCAACATCATTTTTAAATTAAAGAATCCCAGTACTTTGAAGATCATGACATCTGACCCCTGTAACCTTTTAGTAGGAGGAAGGAGGACCCCATCCCTATGTTGGCTGTAGTAAGTATCAGATATAACTGATAGGGCTGTGCAAAATGGCACCGTTCTGTTTCAACTTGCATTTTTACATTTTGACAGAACAGTGTTTTGCTTCAAATTTTGTTTTTATTCAAAACTGCTGTTCCGCTTTGTTTCATCGAAACAACAGTTTCACTGTTTCAATGCTTTTTCAATGTTTTGCCCAAAGGCCATAGTGGGGAAGCATGAAATGGCATATTACTTTGTCATTTTTGGCCTGATTTGGATGAAACCTGTATGCATGGTAGCCCCTGCTGAGGGCAGGAAGCCTGCCATGTTTCAAGGAGATGGGTAGAAGGGTTTCTGGGAAACTGCACCTCAAAGTGCTGACAGGCCAAACATGTCACGGGTGTGTGTTAAAGCCACAGAAGGGTGAAAACTACAGGGATGGTAGCCCCTGCTAAGGCCACAAAGCTTGCCATGTTTCAAGGAGATAGGTTCAGGGGGTTCTGGGAAACTGCACCTGAAGCTGTTGACAAGCAAAACTCATGACATGGGTGACACTGTGTGTGTTTAAGGCATGGGAGAGGGTGGTGAAAACTTCAGGGATGGTAGCCCCTGCTGTGGCCATGGAGCCTGTCAAGTTTCAAGGAGATAGGTTCAGGGGGTTCTGGGAAACTGCACCTGAAGCTGTTGACAAGCAAAACTCATGACATGGGTGGGTGACATTGTGTGTGTTAAGGTGCGACCTCACTGGCAGTAGGGCATCTAAACAACATGGTAGTGTGCTGCTCCTCCTCCCCTACAGCCTGAGTCTGGTCCACCACTTTAAATGGCAACAGGTAAGACAATATTTTTAGTGTAGTTAGAGAAATGTATCGTGGAATACATTTGTCAGGCTGAGAAAGCATCTGCAGTTGGTGTGTCTGCTGGTCCTGGATGGAAGGAATAGAAAAGAAGTCAGAGGCTGGCCTGGCCTGCAATGCAGGCAAGAAAGCCAGTCAGTGAAAATGGAAATGGAGGCATCAGGGGGTGAGGGACAGGCTCTGGTGAGGGAGGGGGAGGGAGATATAGTAGCACAGGTAAAAGTGCAGAGGTACCTGGGGAGTCAGATGTCTGGCAGGTTGCAATAACGAGAGCAGTCCTTCCCCCCCACCCTGTTCCTTCTCCCTCTCCTTACTTTCTGGTTCCCTGCAGGCAAGCCCGGCTTCAGCTTTGAAACTCGAAATGTTTCAAAACTTTCGAAATGTTTCAACTGGCCTCATTTCATTTCAAGTCTGTTTTGAAGCCCTCTGTTTTATCAAAGCTCCTAATATAGGCCCCATCAGGTCAGTGAGGCCTTTCCATTGACTTTGGTGGGAGTTGGATCTGAGCCTTATGCCTTCACTATAATGCTCTAGCTGTGAGGAGGTCAGTGATACTTCAGTATTTTGCAACAGCAGTAGTTAACTTGTCTCACTTTTTTTCTCATTTTCTTCCCAGAACACAAAACCAAAAAAAAAATCCTTTCCACAAACCAAACCCTTGTCCCTTCACCAACAAAATACCACACAAACCTCAAGCCATATGCTGGTGTGGTGTCAAGGATCTGTCAGCAAGGATCCTCACTGTATAATTTTGAAATACCCCCTTTTCTTTTGCTGGGGTATCAAATGGAAGTTCAGACTATGGTAAGGTAATAGCATCATCTACGATAAGGCAGGTCTAGTGGAAAGAGATGGCATACAGAAGAGTAACAGAACTCAAAATCAAAGTATTTTACATATTCTTGAATAATTAAGTGCCAAACTAATATTATATCAAATTTCTTGTAGAATTCATTCAAATTTTCTCTCATACTGACACATTGGCATTTCTTGTCCTTGTTATATATATATATTTTTTTTTTTGGTTTTTTTGTTTGTTTGTTTGTTTTTTATGAGCAATAACTGTGTCCTTGAGCTACACTGGTCTATTAAACTTTTTTGTTCTCCTAATAGTTTTCTATCAGTTTGAAATTCTATGGAGTACTTCAAATGCCTTTTTTCGGCCTGTGAAGTGAATTTAGTATTGGCAGAAGGTGCTGCATTTACAGAACAATTACAGCAGAAGTACCAATGACTGTTGCAACCCACTGTTGCTGTTATCTTCTTATATACCCGAATCCTAACCTATAGGTGAAGACACTTATGCTAAAAATAAGATAATTAAGTCTGATTGCACTGCTCCTTCAGCCATTGAGGGGTTTTAATAAATAGACTTCTGCTTACAAGGACATGGAATGAGTTTGTGACCTTAGTCTGCATAGTCCACTGAACAACCATCAATACCAAAATCAAGATCTAAATAACAATTTTATTTATTTATTTATTTGTTTGTTTATTATTTTTACAAAAATGCTGCACTGGCTTAAAAGCCTGGTTTAAAGCTTCCAACCTTCTCAGCATTAGCCTACCTTTTCTTAAGATGCAGTACCACAAAGTAAACAAAAACAATTATATGGGTAGATAATTAGCATTGTATTCCACATAAAGTAAACAAAAATAATTATAGGAGTAGATAATTAGCATTGTACTCCACGTAGTTGTATTTGTATGTATGTTGTATATGCTTATTTTAATTCCCAGATTGTCTTTATCAATATTGTAGACAGACATTGTGAAAGCTCTGTAGTTGCTTCTAAGCTAGACTTATTGAATGCAGCAATCTCTGCGGTATGTGCATTACATTCATAATGATAATGCATAACTATGGAAGCAGAGTGGAAAAAGGAAGGGATGTCATTGAGATAAATTCATTTTTTATGCTAACTTTAAGAGGAAACCTTTCAGCCTTGTCTAATTTATGCAGCCATAAAGAAATGCTAGATTTGGGTTTTTTTCCCCCCTCTCTATTTGTTCAAAAATACATTTGTTTAAATTTGTTTGTAAATCAGAGAGCCTGCTACATTTTTCTTGCATTTAATAGAAATATATGTTAAGGTATACCACTATAAATGCATAATATGCAACTATATTTGTTTTTGTTTTCAAAATTACAGCTTTACAAAATTCCATCTTTAAACATACAGAAAGAAACTGAACCGAAAGAGGAATATAGATGGAAATTTTATTGTGGCTACCATATCTTCTGTCTTAATTACAAATACTGATATATTAAAAATCAGTCTCAATTGCGGATGTCTCCATTTTAGCTATCTGATTTTCAGAGTCCTTCAAGATGAGCAGAACATTGGGAAAGTTTACATTCTCCTGAGACTGTATGCAAATAGTTTCTTTCTCCCTAAACTAGATAAGTGTTATGGCTAGCGTAATTTACAGTGTTCTGCTTTTGGACCCAAGTAATTACAACTACAAATTAGCATAATACTTTATGATGTCATGTATAAACCTCACACTGACAGAGTAGGGGTTAATGAAGGTAACAAGCTCAATTAGCTGTCAGGTGCACCTGGAGCTGATCAGGTAATTGAGTTATTTTGAACATCTGCAGAGTAGAATAGTTAAGGAGTTAACAAAGGATTGCAAAAGCTCAGTAGGGGTGAATGATGAATCTATGGAGTCTAGTAGGGATAGAGACTGTTGTAAGACCTTTCAAGTTAGCATTCTAGTAAAACAGTAGGAAGCTAGAGGAATCTGGGAAGGACTAAAGCTTCAGCCTGTGGTGGTAAGTAGTTGTTTTCCTGAGTATTAAAGCGTATTTATACAGTGAAGACTGAATCTGAAAATTGCATAATACATCTGAAAAAAAAATAGAGGGAAAGTGGCTTGGAGTCAGTACAGTTCTGCAGTTGTATCTATCTGGCTTAAGATATCTGCATTTAATTTCATGAAAACAGAAAAATATGTTATCCTGGACATTCAAAAGGAATCTTCCTATCCCCTTGTCTTTATTAACCTGGTTGTAAATATTAACAGGTACTTCATAAATATTAATGACTTTAAAAAAATCATTAAAAAAAATCAAAGATAAACTTTTCACACACTTCTGTTTTCTACAGATTAACAGAACAGAATGAGGTATAGAACTACTCTATAAATATTAATGGGTAAAGCACATCCATACTAAATTTTTTATGAAAAAGTCTAATACAAACTCTTATTTTACTGGCCATTTGCCAGAAATACCTGCTTTTCTTGGAACCAGCCTGAACTCTTTCTCATTTGTGAATGTTTCAAGTATGCCTGGTGTTATGTTTGCTTTATTAAAGAGAACCGACATTTGTATTTATACATGGTCTGAATGATGTTTGAGAGAGAGAGCCCCAGTGAAAGCTGAACTTCGGGATAATTGTGTCTGCCGCTCTTAGGCTTGCTCTGTTGCTGAAGGTCTTCTGGATTATGTTGTAAGTAGTAGATACTTCAGTTTTATGCAGTAAGCTAAGTAGTAGAAAACATTTAAGGCTGCCCTCTTAACTAGAAAAAAACCCTTTTTAACTAATTAGAAATGGACAAATTGTGCATTTAGTCTTATTGGGATGCTGGCAGCCTTCCACGTATGCCTCTCTCTTGTGTACAAACACAGTGAAAACAATAAGGTATTTTCTGTTATTTGTACAGATGAAGGATCTAAGATTCTATTAAAACCATCTGTTGAATTATTTCTTGAACTCTTCTTGTGCACTACAAAATTATGAAATTAATAGTAAAAATAATAATCTAGGATGAAATACAGATAAAGATTTGAGGCCAGTTGCTCATCTGGTAGAAAGTGCCATAGGCTTACTGAAGTCAATAAAGCTTTTCTGATTTCTGCTGGCTGAGGATATAGCCCAGAGACTTTAGATTTCCCTGACCTTGAGTTATGTGCTGTCAAATATTGCCATATTTGACACTGCAGAGGACCTCCTTGACTGAGGTCTTCTAAGAGTTGTGCAGTTAAAGAAAAGTTCTCTCAAATAAAAAAAGAACATCAATTAAGAGAGATTTTTAACTAGATCCTCTGTAACTCACCTAGAAAGCTTGTTCTCAAAGAACTCTCTAGTGAAGCCAAGTTGTGTTAACAGCAGTACTATAAAGGCTATGTTTTCCAAACTTTTTTAGGAAAAGAAATAAATGAGATTGACTTTCTAAAATGGTAGGTATAAGAGGTAATGATGAAACCCCATTTTGCCTGTTTAAAAAAAAAAGGAAGTTACAATTACTCTTCAAAAGCCAAATTCTGGAAATCTGTTCAGCCTAAATGATCCACATAATATAATTTTCTAAGAGGCTTGGGGTTGGGGGATCACTTGAAGGAGAAGAAAAAAGAATTCCTAAGACTTCAGTGACTTTTATGCATCTGTTTTTTAGGCTAGGCACAGAAGTTACACAAATTGATTCAAGAGATCAGAAACTGGCTTAAACCTGTAGCAGAACAGAAGCTCAGTGCACATAAACCAATCTCAAAATGTCTGAAAATGGTTTAAGATAAAGCTGGCCGAATGTAGTATCAGACTTAAACCAGTTTGACTCGAATCAGTTATATAATATCCTTCCCAGACCCTTTCCTGGTTCAAGTAAAATCACAATCACCCAGCATGCTTTCTAGCCCTGGGCTGGGCTGGGCTGTCTGCTCCCTAGCTGGAGCAGTGAGGGCTGCCTGACAAAGGGCTCGGGGCAGGGGGCAACCCAACTGGGGATGCAGCCCAGTTTACAGGGGTCAGGTGGTGGACTGCCCAACCCCTCCCCAGCAAACCCTGGCTGGGGCCTGGGGTTGGAGGGGCGGGGGGCTATTAAATACCCCTTTCCCTGCTCAAACTTCCTTCTGGCTACAACTGTGGACTAGAAATCCCAGAGGCACCTAGAAGCAGGAAGAGAAAGCGATTAGCAACCCTAAAGAGGCCTACTACTGTAATTCTGGACTGCAAATCCCATAGACCTCAGTGGCAGCAGGAAGAGGAAGTGAATACACAGCCAGTGAGCCATGCTCTAGCGCCCCCTGGTGTCTGCCCTGAGCCACTGCAGGCATGTGGCTACATTTTCTGAATCGAAGGGAAATTTCTGTTTTCTTCTGTTTCAATTTTATCCGTGCAGTTTAAACTAACCTGTAAAGACTGAATTGATTCAGCCTTGGGCTTTTTGACTGTCTACTTTACTTAACCTTAGAGTGTAAATATGCCTCAGAATAGTGCCATTAACCCTTATTTAACTAATGCTTCTTTTTTTTTTTTTTTTTGTATTTGTAGTTTGGACAGGGATGGATGAATTGGTATGTGTGACATTAGTATATACTAGAAACATGATGGGGGAAATATATAAGTAATGTAACGTGGCAAAGGTAAAGTACAGATATTGATGTTCAGTTTGGAACCCAATTTTACATTCCTCATATTAAGTTGTAGTAGAAAATGGTAACATTCCTCAAAAAAAAATTGTCATTGTAATTCCAACCTATTTCAAACAAAGAACTACTACAAATTTCACCTGAAGGCTTGCTTTTTTGAGACTTATTTTTTTGATCACGTTACAATGTACATCTCTAGAACTTAGACTTTTTTAGTATGTAACTCTGAATTCTTTACTGAATTGAAGTGTTTACAATTGTGTAAATCTTGCCTAGGTAAGAGCTGCAGTGCTGATCTATAAAGTGAGATTTATTTCATAACATGTGCTTTAATGTGGCTCAATAATTTCTCTCTTGTAATGGTGTTTTATGGCATTGTATTGGTTTGAGTTTCTTCAGATGAATTTTGCTGTTGGATATCATTCCTAAAAAAGATTTGAGTGAGTTAAAACCTGTGCACAGGCACCAAGTCAGTATTAAAGGTAAGATTAATGCAGCAAGTGCTCTCATAAATGGCTAGGTATAGTGTGGCCATTTATGGCATTATCACAGAAGCTGTTGTCTCTTCCCCTCCTTACATGGCCCTCTAATTTGGAGCCCTTTTGCCCGTTTTTATAAGGAAGAAAAGGGAAGTGGGGAGGCTGTGATCTTATATCCCTGTAAGAAAAGGGCTCCAACAACAAGGGACAAAAGATGTCTAGCAGGGGGAGTGAGCAGAAAGAAGAAAGTTAAACCCAGGAAGTGGATACCATCAATAGGCTTGAGTAAGACAGACTGGATAAGAACCAAACTAAGAGCAAGTAGGCTGTGAAAGGTTGGTCTAGGGGCAGAACCATTCAGGGCCCTCAGGAAAGGCTGGTGCTTGGAAAGTATTAAAGGTGCTGACTAACAAATACAAAGGCCATTGTAGGGGCTGTTTCAAAGGTTGGCTTTTAAAAAGTTCTATGAGCCTGCCTGCAAAGAGACCTAGGGGAAGCCTGGTCCTGAAAGGTGGTAGGCCCTTGTAAACAGAGCTCATTCTCCTTCAGTGACCTGATCACTGAATTGCCATAAAGATATGGGAGTCAAGTTGAGCAGGGAAGCTGAGAGACCTGGTTTGAGTAGGGACCATAAGGACTAAACCATGCCTGAAAACAAAGGCCTCCAAGAGCAATCACCTGGTTCACAGAGGCTGCATGTAGCTGACTGGGGAGGGGTGCAGGCAACAAGAAGGCGTTTTGGCTATTTGATGTTATATTAAAAAAAAAAAAAACAACCCCAAAACAACCCTTTTTTTAATATGTGTTTACTTGTCAACAAGTTTTAATGTCTTTTAAAAATGCACTAGTTATAATCAACTGTTGCGAGGAGAGACCCACCTTATCTTGGATTGCCCTCTTTGCTCTATCCTTATAGGACACACATCTATCATTATTGCATTTCTTACTCCTTACAGTGCTTCCCCAAATACACTCTTAAAATTTGGGGGGGGGGCTCCTTTCTTTAAATTATAGTCTCTTTCTTATTCCTTTAGATAATAAACTTTCTCAACTGGATCCTGAGACTCCCCTATTTTTTTTTCTTTGCTTGTTCTCAGCAGAGCTAGGATAACAAATCTTGGGTGTAAGAAAGCTGTGTCAGGTATGGGATGACTGTTGCATTTGAACATCTAGAATGTGGTATCACAAGGGCTTGTGTGTTACTGAAATCCCTTATTCATATAACGCTTTGCTAGATCTTCCCAATGAAACAATTATATCCTAAATGAATTTAGTCTTGTGTGTGCATTCAAATATAACAGTTTAAGAAGATACTCTCTGTATATAATTTAATGAAATTGATGGTATAGTCCATCATTTATTCCATTTCACTTATTCTATAGTACATCATATTTCTACCCTCCCCCCCCAAAGATGGGATGAAAATTCTGTTGGATAACTTTTCTATTCTCTCTTAATAAGTAGTTTATCCAGTGCGTGCAATCTCTTTTTGTATTTAACGGTAGCTTTTGCAAGTAATGCAAGCTGGGCAGTTTTCTAGGACAGAGGGAAATGTTTCACTAAGCTACTTGAAGAAAAGGTGGTTTAAAAAAAATAAATAGTAAGCACAGAATAAAAATGGATCCATCTGACTTTTTTGCTGCATAATCATTCAGCTTGTTACTGATGGTAAATGCCACTTATACCTTCTAAAATCAAAAAGAGCATCTTGACTGCTTGGGTACACAATTTGAAATGCTGGGAATACCATGGCTGCATAGTTATTTTATTTTCTTAGGTGGCATTGCTTACTCATGATGTAATAAGTACTTAACATTTGTTTGCACAAGCCGCAGATCTTTTGCTACTTCAGTTGTGTCTAAAGATCTTGATTATGATATGTTTGATAAATACAACTTCACTGTGCAATCCTGCTATTACTTT